GCGGAATACCATAACATTCGCGTGTAAAACTCGACCATAACATAACATAGTTCGCAAGTTGACCAACTAAGTACTGAGGTAACAAATTAATTGAAGCCGATAGCTTATAACCCTGAAAAGGTTAAACTGGTAACAATTAAAATAGGGCTTGAACCCAAAATTAAAACCCCAAAAGAAATTAAATGTAACCCTCTATAAATAAGATGACTTAAATAATCCTAAAGCTCCTTAAAGGCTAAGATACTGAAGATTGTTTAACGACCAGTAAGGAGACTAAAGCATTCTGCATCATTCGGATCTGTCGACTGGGGTTTTCCCACATGTGAATTCTGTTAGGAAAAAGTTTTTGGAAGGGAGCGACTTTTCTTTGGAATACTCCCCAGCATACGAAGGGCTGATGACCTTATCTCAATGGTTACCATGACAGTGTCATCGGTATTACCAAGTCTTCCACTACTGAGAGTACTGCTGGGGGTATTCAATACACCCCGGACCCCGGTGCGACGCCCTCCACACAGAAACCTCCAATGTTTAGCAGTCATTTACGAGAAAATACCATCGAACTTACTCTAATCTTGTGGGCGAACGTAATACCAGGGGGCGGGGTGGGGGTCGATGGGGCGTATGAAATACTCCCCAGCCAAGACCAGTACTAGAGGTAACACAGAAGTTCCCTTTTGCTGAGAGCAGTGCAGGGGGAGGATCCTCAGACCCTTTGGTGCTGTTTTTTTTCTGAAAAACGTTAAGTACCAGACAACGCCATCATCACGATCCTGTGGAGTATCCCTTCTTTTTTAAAGGACTATGGGTTTGATCACTTTACCATTCTTCTTTTCAACCACATGTTAACTAATTTGACCTTTATTTATGCAAGATCCCGTTATGAGAAGTGGCCACCCCTTTTCTTACCAAATCCCTTGTTTAGCCATGTCGAAGCCTTCTCTTAAAACACAATTCGCCATCGCAATCTTAAAACGAGAAACTTCTGAAACGAACCATATGGTCTGCACTACTTAAAAATCAAGCGTCCACAGCTACAACAAAAGACGAGGCCGATCTTATCTTTTTTAATACTTGAATGATAAAGATAAAGTTCTAATTGCCCTTAAAAGCACGGTAATGAATTGAAAATACAAATGCCAGAAAAATGAGATTACCTTATTTGACGGTAATTAAGCGATCTAAATCTCCGGTGAATTCACTTCTTCGATTGGTTAGTGTCCATAGCGCTACCAATCCCGAACCGCTGTTTATTATCTCAAAAACAAAGAGATGAGAATTTTCCATTATGACTTTACCTCATGATGAGATGAGGCTGCAGCATTATATCCCTTTGAAGACGGATGTAGTTTGATGCAGCAAGCCGACTTCAATGCGCCCTTTGAAGACGGATGTAGTTTGATGCAGCAAGCCGACTTCAATGCGCGACTGACGATTAGAAGCAATTAAAATAACAAAGACGCCAATGACACATATTTCGTTCACTTCAATCATCCAGATAAATTCTTCATGTTAACGAAAACTAATAGTTGTTTCGGAAGACACATTTTCTACAGGTTAAAAATGCTATTGTACTTATTTTTCAGGGTAAATCGAAACCGTCCTAATGCACCCGTTACAAAGGTCCAGTTTCCTTGAATCCCCTGGACCTTTCAGAATCTTTAAATTCTTCCTTTTTTTGTAATTGATCGTATTCTTCAGATCAGGCTACTTCAAATCTGTCACTGGAACACATACAGCATTGGACAGACTTTCAAGGACGTTTGAGTACCACAAGACAAGGCAAATTTTCGGTCTCCATTGCAGATTCTAGAAGGCTATTAAGGTCCCCTGAAGGCGTTTGAACAAGTTTGAAAACGTAACAGGATTCTTTAACGCCCTTAAAGAATTGCAACTCTTCAGTAGCTTCTATTACGTCATTTTGAGGCTGCTGCATAGTTGAAACGCCCTCGGTCTCTTCTAAAGAGAGAAGAAAAAGGCTAGTGAGAGGCTTGAAGAGCTTTGGTAACCTTTAAGGGTGTTGTAATATCCGAATATTAAAGATACATTAAGACTACACAATCCCAAAAACCTTGGGGTGCCTTTACGAAAGAGTCTCACAATGTCTTCAGGGTTAATGATTAATGGACTTTTATTGGTATGTCGAAGACTTTTTCCTCTATTTAAGAAAAAAATTTCAAAGGCTTATGCAAGTTTTTGAGAGTTTTTCGCGTTTAAGGGCCATATTGAAGAATCTCCAAATGTAAAACTCTCAAGAGCATCATCAAACCCGAACGTTCAGATTTTAAGGGTCTTCAAAAACTTTAGTCTTAGAAACAGAGCTTTTCAAAAACTTTAAAACGCTTAAGGAACCATTATGGCCAATTACCTATCATCAAGATCTGTATTTTTCCTAAAAAGAGTTTCAAAGAGAATTCCGAGCCTTCGATTTAAGGCATTTTCCAGCTTTTAAGGTTATAAGAGCATTTTACAAGGATAGCAAGTTACATAAATTAATTTTCATGGAACCTTGAGAGACCTATGGTTCGCTTTATAGTCCTTAACACGTTTCTTCTGAAAACGTTACTCCCTTTGAAAAACGATCGGGTATAATCTCGAGTAAGGTCATCAAGGGCACAAAGGACTTTTGCAACGTTTCTAGTTACTTATTCTAAGTTTTTTTTAATTCAGACATTAATAGACTTTTCCAAGAGCTTTTGTTTTTTTAAAAATAATCTTTAGAAAAACCTTTTAATCCTTTAAAAAATATTATAGATCTTTTAAAATCTTTCTTCAAAGTTATGAGGTTTTCCAAAAGCTGACTGCCTCTTTTGAAAACATTCGACTGTCGAATGACACAATGGAGAGCAATTCGAGCAAAAATTTTGACGACAATCGAAAGTCGAAATTGAGTAAATTATGCGCAGAAACGTTTTGGAAACCTAACTATTCAAAATGGGTGTAACGTTTTATATGGAAGTGCAAATTATTTACATGAATTTGGTTTGGATGACCACACGTAACGATTATGGGCCCTCTCGAATTGAAGTGATCCTAATCCTAATGCTGCATTTGTGATTGGTAAAAATCAATACGTCGGCGAACCCCAAAGGTAGATAAAAAGAGACGAGCTCGTAACATTTAAGAGTCGCTTAGAATCTGTTCGGGACGTTAAAAACGCGGAACGGAATAGAATAGGAGGCGTTTAACGGCATTACCGAGATAAATCGCAAATATATTTCCCAAATCGATATAAATAACTGCACTTTAATGTTTGAACATCTGCCGTAGATAACCGACGTAATCCGATAAAGCCGCTCGGATTGGGGTTGATCTTACCCCTGGGACGACGTCGAGTAGTTACAGCGCACTTTGATCTTTCGCCCGTCTACCAGGATTGCAACCGCAGATACCGTTAGGGAAACCCTTAAAATGCACAGGGCCGCGGATGTATTGATAAAGAAAAATATTGCACCAATTCGAAGTGAAAACGAGAAATCACCCCCCTTTTCTCCATCATTAGAAATGTATAGCGCGGGAAAATACCGTCGCGTCGACAAACATTTCCACAATACGCGACGTTCTCTGACAAAGGAACTCATTTAAACGTTATCTGAACGCGATCTTAAATTTCTTTTGCAATTCTTTTATAAACTGTTACCCTTATCTTCGAAATGATTTATGGAAGCGCTTTAAAATAAAATTACAGCGCGGTATATCAAAAGGCGGTTGTCCATTTGAATTGCGATAACGGCGGAGAGTGCAGTTTATGTCGTGCTCTAAGGCGAAGTAAATTCACGTAAGTGATAAGATTCTGCCAAAGTGCAGTATCAGTTGGAAACTACGTAATTTATAAATTTGTTTGTCTCATAAATTCATACGTTACGACCTGTTAGGACGAAGAGCATTGTAACTATAATCAGTGGCAGAAGCGCTTAAGAGTCTAAGGATGGAAAAACAAACCTGATCTTGGCGCTAACCTTTGAAATAACTGGCATTTGTAAGTTCTGTTCAGAAACTGCGGAGTTTTACGGTCTAGATAATGTCCCGAAGACGGTACGTGTTGGATATTCAGTAAACATAATATGGGTGATGATCCTGTGAACTTTGTATAATCTCTAAATTCCGCAGATCCTTCAGATGCTGTAGATCTCTACAATTATGCTGTTCCTGTAACCTTTGCAGCTCCTTGGTGAAGTCGAGGCCACCACGGTTTAATAATACAATTCCACTAGCAATAATTTCGGCACCATATATAAATTTCGGGATATGCATTCAGGATTCCCCTAGGTCAAGTCTCGTATTCGTGGTATATGAAGTTGGTAGGAGGGGACAATGGTCCGGAAGATGCCATTAGATTTACTTAAAGTTCCGCTCAGATTGAAGAAATTTCATTACTAGATTTATACGGCTTCAGCTTCCCTAATGTCAAGGTGCGTCTTTGTTGATAACGGATTAATTATTTCAGAGATAAAAGTGCCCAACGTCGCTTACGTAATGAATGCGTAGAATATTTTATTTCCCAATAATATATTTTTGCGTGATTGTAAATTGAAATTAACTTACCGCTGCTGAAGTTTACGATGGAAAACCACTCGTTATGGGAAAATTCAGTTGTTCACTGCTGGAGGTTCCAGACCCCCACACCCTGTGGTTCTACATTTTTCCCTAAAACGTGTAGAGACGTTGTCACTTGAACAATAATGATTGAAAATTCCATTGGACTGAGTTTTGAGGTAGAACGTATCACCGGGGGTCTCGATGGTACGGAATCCCCCACAGCAAACGAAGGTTATTATAGTTGTAGGGTGCGTTTTAGGCAGAGCTGGGCACTGTTCGCGAGCGGAAGAAGCGCTCCAAGCACTTTTCGAAGCGGCCGTTTGGTGCTCGATACTCGAGCGTTTACTGAAAGTGCTCGGTGCTCGAGCGCTTTTTTTCTGCTCGTGAGCGGTTTTTCCACTTATGAGCGCTGGGGTTGTGTGTGACGGGCCTTTGTTTAGTCGCCTCCTGCGACACACAGTGGCTCTGCGGTACAGTTACGTGTCGCCATTTATAATTGGCTGCTATGTTACAGGCAGTCACAATCGGGTGAGCAACTATAATTAATCAAGATCGATTATTGCATTTTCGGTTAATCGAATTTCTAATAATCCGGACACAAAACCTAATAATTTGTTAATAAAAAAGATTATTTTTGTAATTTGGTATCGATTATGTAAATAATTTGCACCTTCATCCTTTACTTTATATAATTCTTACTAATTCAGTAACAATTTAATTGAAACATTTCGCAAAGCTTATACAAACTTTTTTATCAATGTACGACAAAATAAGTAGCTATCAGTATTTGCGCTACTTAATTATTTGCACGTGTCATATTTAGTGATGTCTCGTAATCTTATTATTATTATGGTTAAATAATATTACATAAATGTTTTGTTTATTACATGATTTGATTGGTCTCCTCGAGGGAGGTGTACCTGATTTATTGTAATTAAAGTTAGGCAAAATATCTACACGAAAGCGATTACTTGGTTATCGATTTTCCGATTATCGAATAATCGATTATTGATTATATCTTGCTACTTTTACTACTTTAAGCTACAGTTCATACAATTCGTGGTAGTGGGCATCATCTTCGCCGAGAGTCTACATTGAGACATTGTGCAACTGTTGTATAAACAAGCTTTGTTAACATATACTTAACGTATTTGTGTTTGAACACGTTGTTGGCGTGTTGAGAAATAAGCTTATTTGATAAAAGGCTTTTGCGTTTTATCTGCCTATTGCACAATGGCCACCAAGTGATAAAACTGGGAGTGGTACATTTTAAAGCACTTCCCTTGTGCTCTTGCATTGAGCCCTTCATGGAGATTACAAACTGAACCATTGGGTTTGGGTAAATCAATTTGTCTGATTGAACTGTTCGCATTTCTTGTCGTTTCGGCACTATTGGCTTAGCTGCTTGTGAAAAAAAAACAGATAAGATCTCAAGATTTACCAACCATTGTTTATAGTGGCGCAATGTAGCGTTGTAAAATACGTACGTAGACATTTTTTGGGTATAAAACTGGAGGAGAGACCGGTAGTGGGCAGTCAGCCTCCAACCATGAAGCTTTTCCTTGCAACACTTTCTCTCGTGCTGTTCTTCAGCAACGTTCAAGGTAAGAACTTTTACTTTTCGGTTCTATCTACATAGACATTTTAGGTGAACTCGATTTTGGCGATGGGCTCCAGCAAATTCTTCGTTGCGCAGCTCAGAAGGCCACTTCGCTACTACCAGACGAGATTGCAGCCATTATGACTAAAGCGAGTGTGTTAAAGATCTGCCAGACCGCCGAGACGGCCGTGGATGTCGGCAAGCTCTTGGAGTGTCTCATAACGAATCTTCAGAGCGCCCTCACGGATCTTGCAAAAAAAATGTTGGCGTTGGGTCCACTTGTTGGAGGTTTACTGCTTGTTGTTTTAACTTTGCTTGATAAGGTCTTAGGGGGGGTCTTGCAACTCCTTCTTACGCTATTGGATATTCCCAGTATTTCGGAATGTATACAGAAGCAACCACTTCTGTGTGGCCTATTGGGTAAGCTGCCACTCATTAAGGACCTATTAAGATGCACCCAGTGAGTGTTGAGCGCTTGATTTATTTTACCATTATTTTATGTAGCATGTCAGTTTACAAATTGTAAAAAAAATGATAACTAACAGAAAATTGTAAATTTTATTCTAAGTTTATTCCAATGTACATATTAAAAAGTAGAGTCAGCAAAGAAAGTGTGTTTTTTAAATATTAATCTTATAATAACTAATTGAAAAAATCCCTACTACTCAACTAAATTAATATTACTGAATCTTAAAACACGTTTCACACGTATAAGATCGTAGACGCCAAGAAGTGAGCTCAATTTTCGCATCCAAATCCTGCAAATAATCAAAAGAAAACCTCCCAAGCCGCAGGACTCTGTGTATGATCAACTGAATAATGCCTGAAGGGCCTCATAATCTGCCTCTATGGAAGTACGGTATTTAATTGGCCAATCTCGTCAGAAGAACGTGGCTGCCTACAATAAGATTCCCGTAGCTTAACCGAGATCGCAAAAATAATAAAGGAGTAAGTACAGAAGTTACCAAAAAAGGGACAAAAATTAAGCCGGATGTCGGTTTTTTATTTTAATCCAAAAAGATTAAAAGACGAAATCGCATATTTTAGTGCATGTATTAACACTAGAAGCCCCAAGAGGGGTTAATTGACTACATTTAAGATTTAAATTTGTGTAACACCCTTAATTTTGGCAACATAAGTTTGTAGTTTGGCGACTTCTTCTTATTTAGGCACTAGATTAATTAAATGAAAAAGTACCATTGTAATTGTGGAAAATTTTTTAAAAATCAAAAAAACAAAGGTAACCTCTTCGTTCATGTCACAAAATGTCAATATCTCTTAAATAAGAGGGCTAATTATAGATTGATGTAACAATCGTCGATGGAAGAAAAGTACACTTCAAAAAAATGAAATGGAAATGGCGGTACTTCCGATAAACAATAAAAACCCAATTATATCCTCCCTACGAGTTAAAGGAGAATTCGTTCACTAATTATTCCAGAATCCACAATTTAATGAATCCAATTAGCAGAGATTAATAAAATGTGAATGATGGCAGTTAAAATTCCATACGTTCTCAACTAAAGCTTCACCTGTTTAATTAAAATGAGTACATCTTGTCACGCCTCACAAAAGGAATATGAATGTGGACAATACATAACCACAAAATGCGCCTTAAAATGGCGTGGTTAAAATTACAACAGATGGAGCCCTCTATTCAAAAGTTACAAGGATCTTTAAAGTGAACACTAATAATGCTTAAAATTAAGAAAGTAAAACGTTACATCGTTAAGTTAAAGTTTTAGTTTTTACCCAATTGGGGTGAGTTGCCTGTGCTAATTTCCTTTACCACTCCATTTAATGTTTTTGACGATAAAATTAGAGGTAAGTAATGGTAAGACTTAAAACAAAAATGAAGATACGGTCCACTCCACAACATTGGTCGTTTGAGTCGGATGTCGGTTTTTTTATACTTTAATCCAAACAGATAAAAGATGCCAAACCGCATATTTTAGTGCGTGTATTAGCACTCGAAGCCCCAAGAGGGGTTAATTGACCACATTTAAGATTTAAATTTGTGTAACACCCTTAATTTTGGCAAGATAAGTTTGTAGTTTGGCGACTTCTTCTTATTTAGGCACTAGATTAATTATATGAAAAAGTACCAGTGTAATTGCGGAAAATTTTTAAAAAATCAAAGGTAACCTCTTCGTTCATGTCACAAAATGTCTATATCTTTTAAATAAGAGGGCTAATTATAGATTAATGTAACAATCGTCGATGGAAGAAAAGTACACCTCAAAAAAATAAAATCAAATGACGATACTTACGGTAAAGAAGAAAAACGCAATTATATCCTCCCAACGGAGTTAAAGGAGAATTCGTTCACTAATTATTCCAGAATCCCCAATTTAATTAATCCAATTACCAGAGATTAATAAAATATGGATGATGGCAGATAACATTCCATACGTTCTCAACTAACGCTTCAGCTGTTTAATTAAAATGAGTACACTTTGTCACGGCTCACAAAAGAAAGAGGTGTATGAATGTGGGCAAGCGATAACCACTAATCACGGCGCCGGAAACTCCGCCCTAAAATAGCGTGGTTAAAATTATGACAATAAATCGAGCCCTCTATTCAAAAGTTACAAGGATCTTTAAAGTGAACACTAATAATGCTTAAAATTAAGAAAGTAAACCGTTACACCGTTAAGTTAAAGTTTTAGTTTTTACCTAATTGGGGTGAGTTTCCTATGTTAATTTCCTTTACCACCCCATTCAACGTAAATAACAAATACATTTTAAAAAATAACAAACATTTAAGTAGTAACGATAATTAACGAACTTCAATACAATGTAGTAAAACATAGATGTCGGAAATACAAAAATCAGGGTCCATTGACCACTCGTGGGGCCCTTAAGGGGGTAAGCTTGGGTCTTCTAGTTGTATTTGTCGTTTATCTCCGAAATTTAGGATTATCTTCAAAGTTAAACGGATGTTAAACATGTCGTTTAATAAAAATGTAAATTTGTAACGGATACATAAACCCCTTACCTCCGCAACCCACATACATCCAAAACCATCTATCCCTTTACGACTTATTTAATTAAGGTCACCAGCATACTCAAGGAGGGCGTCATCCGTAAACCTCACTTTTAGTAATTAAACAGTGGGTGCTAAAGAATTAAACCACTCACCGTAATCATGACCGAAGCGATGGTATTTTGGAGGTTGTGGGTTCGAATCCCGCAGCCAGACTGTTTGAGATTTTGACAGAGGGTTTTCAGGCGTACGTAGCTTCACTTTGAAATCTACAATGCGAATACCAGAGAACTCTGCTCCTTCCGTTCCCGTTCTCTGGCTCTCACAGGAAACCTTGAGCCTCCGCTTTTCCCGCCCAACTAGAAGGCCTCAAAATTTCACAGCACACGAGATCAAAGACACGAAGAGACCCAAGCACCGATTACCCTGACCATAGATCAACTCCAAGTCTTGATCAACCAGTCCAAGGAGACTACGATGAAGGTATCTAGAGGATCGTTCTCGAAGTGCCCGGCAAAATTCAAGGGAGGTGCAGAAGACGTCCACGCCTTCCTCGGCGCAGTCACAGTATACAAAGATTGCGAGTGCGTCACTGAGGACAACGCCCCAAATGCTCCTGCCAGGGGTGAAAGAAACCAGCACGAAGCCGTCGACCTCCTCAAAGAGAACTTCGACCCTACCATGCCAACCCAGCGACTCCTACGAAAGTTCTTCGCAACGGGTCATGGAGAGGAGCGCAAAACGCGCACTGAACGCAAAGATTCCCAAATAGACGCTTTCCAGGCGAGCATGGTCTACGGCCTACTCTACCACAGAATCCTCCAGAAGCTCACCAAAGACATGTGCACATGTGTTGAACTCAGCCACTGAGATAAGGAAGCTTACTGCACTTTCTACCAGTTCTCCGATCACACGAGAGAAGAATGCCGCAAGAATCAGGCTAAACAATCGGAAGTCACAACGTCTGTCCCGCTACGATAAGTCAGTCCACTGTCAGGACACCGACACGAAACTCCGGCATCGCCTGTGTGCCGGAAACGGGAAGTCATTCGCAACCAACGTCGGAAGTGCACGCCTTCAACCACCGGTCCCTATGAAGAGGTACGCATGTTCTTCACGGACCCAGCACCACTCCAAACAACCCTCAGACCAAGGCCTACAATGGAGTTTAAAATAGAGCAGACAAGCGGTAGTGCTCGACCAAGCCTTACCGGCTCGTGGTTATACAACCTCCTTAAGACCCGAGGTTACCCGTGGACGTACGGAAGTGATCCGGACTTCATTCCCCGTCCTCCCACAAGCTAAAAATCACACGCTGCTCGGCATGGACTTTATCTAGGATGCCGGTCTTATCCTGAACTTCCCCCACAAGTGCTACTGACCCCGGAGAAGTGTATTCGCTCGCGAGAGATCCAATTCAACTTTTCGCAGCCACGATACCGTTGGTTCCCATTGAAATGTCCACTCCGTACGAGAATGCCGCTAAGCCACAACGGCACGACGAACCGAAGTTCTGAAAACCCGCATGATTATCTGAAAGGTTCGCTTTATCCGATTAGCGCAGGTTAATTAACGCAGTCGATCGTGGAAGTATTTTGGCTCCTCAAACAATCGACATTTAATCCAGAATCTTCCTAGTACGATTACCTTTTGTTGTGTGTAAATGATCGGGCAATGAACTTTTTTATTTATATCGACTGCATTCAAACTAGTTTTCCACCTTCGCAATACGAGTTATTATTAGAGTACTTAAACAGGCCAAACGACTTCAAATGAACCTTGTAACTGGTTAATTCTTCACTTCCGAATTAGTGTGTATTTGACGAAATTTTCGCGGATCTTTCGGAATTCAATCTACGGCCCTTCTCGAATTTAGGCTCGTGAACAGCTTTTCTTTCGTGTATCATAGACAAAATGATTCACATCCACTTTTAGACATACGTAATTGCCGGTGACTAATATCCTCTAAGAATCTCCCCGCCTTTAAAACGTTTTTAAAAGGTGTTCTCTCAGAGGGTTGTTTAAACCCTTTCCGGAACTCCTTCGACATTCAACCGTTGCTTTCGATACTCTATTGGCACTTATCAGAGAGTATTGGTCCCTTCACAGGGTTTTGTAGGGTCTACTTACTTCAGAGAGGACCTGGGGACGTCAGAATTGTTTGTGTTGAATCTATTTTCACCGGAGATGTTTCAATTGTAGCGTACGAGGTACTTGTCCAGGGACTGTTTGAATGCGCAGTTGCGAACGCCGATAAGGTGACTCCTGAGGAGATTGGTGAAATGCTGAATACAGTAGAATTACTAACTGAATGCCGTCCCAAAGATGGCATGGACGCCGATTTCGTCACGATCCTACGGTGTGGCCAGGCGAATATTGATAATGAGCTTAAAAGAGCTAAGTTTTTCTTCGTGGGCTGGGATCCAATTACAATCGTAATAAAGCGTTTAAAAAATATGATAGAAAACATAAAGAAACTGGTTCTTGAGGTATTCGCTATTCCTGATGTTCTGGATTGTGTAAAGCGACAAACTTACCTGTGTATAGAATGGAGCCGAATACCATTTATTAAGGAAGTACCTGATTTTAAATGCCCTTAGTCGTTATTGTACCGTGGATAATGTCAGATCACAATTTATTTGTAAAAAACAATGATTCCCAAAGAATATTAAAACCAAACAAAGAATTGTCTATTTGTTTATGCATATCTAGAGTTCACTGGACTCGAATCAATACTTAAGCAGAATTGTCTCTTCTTACGAACATTACGTAATTGCCATTTGCTAAAAATCGCAGTGCATTATTTCCCTCCCTGCTTTCACTTCAAATCTCACAAATAATTTGTAAAAACTCTCAACAGTATAATAATGTTGTGTTTTTGTAAACAAATACTGTAAACACCGTGTTGGCCATCCCAATGTCATAGGCGCGATAGTGTTTTGTTCTTTGCGTAGTAATCAAAATCACCTCCTTACTCAACAATGATGGAGTAAGTTACAGAACTTCACAATCATTCACAAAATGTAAAATGATATCTAGAATTTTGCATCTGGAGGCGCTTAAAGGTAGTAGCCGTGTCATCCGGGAACCCGAATAACACCATCACCTTGGTTACCCTGTGCCCTTTCGGAAACCCGCTATCCCAGGGCTTAATAAGAGGGATGGTCCTCTCCAACCAGTCCAACGTCCATTGGTCTTCGCATTCGGTCATAATGACACCCAGCCGAAATCTTCCAGCCGACAGATGGCGCCTAAGTATACCAGTTAATCTCAAACTATAAATTACAGTGAGTACAACTCGTTAAACAAAATCTCAACGGTATTATGTTTCTATAAAGAAATACTGTAGGTATCTCGTTGGTCATCCTATACTCATAGGCGCGTTAGATTGTCATTTTGTGAAGTTGGAAAGTAAAAACGGCAAAAACCCGATCTGTGCTCCATCGCTGATTTGCATTTACGAGTGCAAGTCTAAAGACTTGATAATAGAATAACAATAGTGCAGTGTCTTGAATTTCTAGTCTTGTCTACTTCGCTAATCAAGTTACCAATTATAAAGGAAGAGAGCTTTCTGTTTTGGCTTTCAATTGCCTTATTAACCTCCTAGAGCCTCGAAGGCATCATTGAATCCCACAGCACCACTTTCACAGCAACCAAAAGCTCATTCAACAATGGCAATTTTCATTGGAAGGTCTCCAGGTCGCCGTACCGAAAATCTCTTGGGCATGTCCAAGAGGCTTATGAGCGCAAAGAGGAATTTGATGCATTACTGAGACACTTATGATCGAAATCGTGCCTTTTTGGGGAGAAATGTCGTGCTAAAACGAAGTTTGAAGGAATCTTTTACTGTTTACAGACTAATAGGTTAAAATACGAACAAAATTGGAAATTTTAAACCAGCAAAATTAAATTGTGTAATCCTACAAACAAAGAAAGGGATCTTATTTGAACTTCAAATCAAAGACGCCATTCATTTTACGAAACCTGAGATTTTGTATCGAATGTCCTTTCCGATAGCCTGTTTGCCGTTAAACGCCCGGAAATGAAATCAAAGCGGCAACGTTGACTTAAATTTGAAACCGAGAGTATAATGTAGTAGTATAATTTGTATTTCAAATATAGGTCTTTGCATTTTGATCAGTTACCTATCTAATACAAGGCGATCAAAAATGAGTTGCTGTCGAGTCACCTTTGGAATTTTTGTTTACATGGGAAATCGTACTTCACTTGAACTTCCAAAGGCGACACGACAGCAACTCATTTTTGATCACCCGTTAGTTAATAGTCAGGCAGGCAGTGTATAACCTTCCTTTTTTACCAAAAATCGACTGCATCAAAATTTCTCGGGAAAACACTTTTTCTTATTAATTTTGGTGCGTAGAATCCAAAACAATTCGTACTTTTTCGATCAGACTTCTCAATCAAAAGTTATAGACTAGAAACCAATTTCGAAAGAAAATTCAAAGGGCTGTAACTTTTGAACTAGTAGCCCAATCTTGGAACTGTTTGAAATTATGGATTCTACAGGCCACATTCTATAAGAAAATTTTTTTCCGGGTCGATCTGAGACAATTTTTTTTTCGGGCCTCAAAAAAAGGCAGTGTATAACCTTCCTTTTTTACCAAAAATCGACTGCACCAAAATTTCTCGGGAAAACACTTTTTCTTATTAATTTTGGTGCGTAGAATCCAAAACAATTCGTACTTTTTCGATCAGACTTCTCAATCAAAAGTTATTGAGACTAGAAACCAATTTCGAAAGAAAATTCAAAGGGCTGTAACTTTTGAACTAGTAGCCCAATCTTGGAACTGTTTGAAATTATGGATTCTACAGGCCACATTCTATAAGAACATTTTTTTCCGGATCGATCGGAGACAATTTTTTTTTTGGGCTCAAAAAAAGGCAGTGTATAACCTTCCTTTTTTACCAAAAATCGACTGCACCAAAATTTCTCAGGAAAACACTTTTTCTTATTAATTTTGGTGCGTTGAATCCAAAACAATTCGTACTTTTTCGATCAGACATCTCAATCAAAAGTTATAGACTAGAAACCAATTTCGAAAAAAAATTCAAAGGGCTATAACTTTTGAACTAGTAGCCCAATCTTGGAACTGTTTGAAATTATGGATTCTACAGGTCACATTTAGGGAATGCAATACCGGGATCCCGAAATACCAGGATCCCGCAGCATTTTTGCGGGATTAATCCCGAACATAAATGGAGCGGGATCCCGCGGGATTTGCGGGACTGAGGAATTTGTCGACCAAGTGGACGACTCGGTTTACTTTGATAATGAAGCGCATAACGGAGAAGTTATTTTTTATATAATTGTTAAATTTTGTCGTTAAAAATTTACTATGATTTTTGAGGCACTTTAGAAGTTCACCTTTTTGTGCTTTACAGGTGAGGTTTTTTTGAGTTCTAAGTTAGGCCGAAGGTACTTTTTTGTTAAATATTGTGATAATTAGCGACTTATTTTAATGCAGAAGTTAAACGCATAGAATTGCTTAGTTGCCAATTTATTTAAAGTTTTGCGGGATCCCGCAAATACCGGGATTGAGATTTTGCTGCGGGATTGCATTCCCTACTTCCGGCTAAATGCGGTCCGACAGACCGAGCTTTTCGTGTATGGGGACCTCCAATACTTCATGTATACGTTTTATGTTGCTATTTGAATGGTAATGGTTCGCGTCGCGGGCTCTTAGAATATTAAATAATTGATATATAAATATAAATCACATATACAATACATGAGGTTAAAAGCCAATTCCAAAACAAAGAAATGCTTGGTTTACAAGCAGGTCGAAGTAAAATGTAACTTTACAACGGGTGATTCACCCTTGATGCAATAACACATTTTTGTTAAAAGCAAATGGAAAATTGCATGTCCATAACTTTTAAACTACGGAACATGTGCAAATTATTGAATTGCAACTCATTCTAAACCAAAGAGATTTTGTTAGTAGGGTCTCGCCCCTGGGACAGATAACTTGTCCCTCGTGCGGAGTATTCAAGCCTAAAGTTCAAACCTTTTAATGTATACATCAGGAGCTATTGAATCTTCGGAAACTACAAGAATAGTAGAATCTCCTTGCTTTTAAAAGGTTTTCCAATACCCTCAAAGGGTTGGTTAAACCCTTTCCGGAACTTCGGCATTTAGCTTATAGAGCTCTATTGGTACTTATCAGGAAGTATAGGTCCTTTGCCAGGTGTCTATAGAGTCTCCTTACTTTAGACTTTACGTGGGGACGTCAGAATTTTTCTCGTGTTTCTTATCGTTGCGGCAACATTGTCTTAGTGACAACACCACTCACTTGTGAAAAAATCATGACTCGGTTGAGACCTTGACTGAGATGGCGCTTATCATCGTAGATACCTTTAAAGTATAAATACAGCGGATGTGCTACCAGTGCGCGTTAATCTTCGAACATGAAGTTACTCTTCGAAGGAAGTTTTTTCGTGCTGCTCCTCTGCACCGCGCAAGGTATCAGCTTTCTTGTGTAATTCTATTTTCACCGGAGATGTTTCAATTTTAGCGTACGAGGTACTTATCCAGGGACTATTTGATTGCGCAGTTGCGAACGCCGACAAGGTGCCTATGGAGGAGGTTGGTCAACTGGTGAATACCGTGCATTTGATAATTGAATGCGAGCCCGATGACGGTATAGCAGAGAATTTCGAGAAGATCCTACGGTGTGCCCAGGCGAATGTTCTGAATTCGCTTAACAGGCTTAAGTATTCCTTCGTGGGCTGGGTTATAATTCCATGGACCCTGCAGCGTGTTAAAAATATTTTAGACAAAGTAGAGAATGTGGTTCTTCATGTAATCACTATTCCTGGTGTTATAGATTGTTTAAAGCAACAACCAGATCTGTGTAAAAGATGGATCCGAATACCATTTACGAACATCGTACCTGATTTTACGTGCTCTTAGTGAGTGCCGACTTTTTACTGCACCATGGTCTTATAAAGTATGTCACAGTTTGTAAGGAAAATGCCTCCTAAAGAATAAAAAAACCAAACAAAAATCCTCTATTTATTTATGCATATTTACGGCTCACTGGACAATTATAGACGTAACTATATTTAAACCCGAATTGTTTCTCCAATTAAAGTAATATCAGTTGAGGTCAATGATTTTGATTTTTTGATTCGTGGATAGGATTTGGAATTCTGTTACTTATTGCGCTGTCAAATCTCACAAATGATTAAAGAAATCCCAACAGTATATTGCGTCTCTATAAACCAATACGGTAAATATCTGGTTGGGCATCCAAAAGTCATAGGCGCGATAGAGTTTCGATCCCTGCGTAGTAGTTTGTGGTAAAAACCGTGTCATTTTTTGTGTAGTATAAGCATGTATATAGTCCATGTTGGCTCATAACTTCTACTTTAACTAGATAAGACCAATATTAAAATAATCCGTAGCTTGATCTACTTCGCTAATCAAACTATCGATTACCTTTACCTTTAACCTTTAAACTAGGTTGATACAAGTATAGTGTAGGGAATTACAAACTAATTGCACTTACTCTTCAAACAATGTGAGCATAAGAGCCATATTAACGCACTATAAACACAAAGAAGACAAAGACCTCATCACTGGTTATCAATTTCGAATGTGAGCAAGTCCCAGCTAAAATATAAAAACATATCAACTCCATTTACTTAGCAAGATATTCATAAATTTGAATACTTGAATCTAATTGGAGAAATTATTCCCTTGTATATGAAATTCAATTTTTTTCCCTTGTGATAGGATAAAAATTTTTAAAAGTCCACATTTATTATGATTAAACCATGAAATCACACAAATTATTGCATTCCTTCTATACAGACAAATGCTTAATGCATTAATAAACTCAAAAATATCCCTACTGGCCAGATAATTAATTAATTTTAGTAAACAATGTACTTGTGCCACTGGGGTGCGAGAGACGTGGACTGTGTGTGTTTTGGAAGGATCCGGGAATTTCGAAGTCAGACTGGGACAAAGCGAAGTTTGATAACACAAAAGATAGAGGAATAGAAGCAGCAAGCTGCAATACAAAATTGGAGAGATCAAAAGTAGGGTAAGCAACAGAACAGTGAGTAGAAATACCTAGAACAGGAGTAACTTTAGAGGTTATAAGAAATTCATAAGGACGAATGTTGCATGCAAAAGAGAGATAAGAAAAGTTAACGTCACGTAGCGGGAGGCGCACCAAAAATTTTTTGAGGATAGGCAACACACCATACATCGCAGTACGCAACCGAGCCGACAGCAGAAAGTGAGAGAGCAGCGTAATAAACAAGGAATAGGGGGAGAGAAGACAGGGAATCCACAAGAACTAAAGGCAGTAAGGGAAAAAGGATTAGAAAACATAGATAAATGACGTTAGCTTGCTAAACGCAGAAAACGCAAGTGGAATACAGACAGGAGGAATGCAAAAACAACAAAGACATTCACGAGCCAACAGCACAGGAAATCTCAAAGAAAAGAGGAAGAGAACAAGATGAAGAAGCAAGGAAGCAGTTAGAAGCCTAACTAGAAGAATCACAGAAAAACGGCAAAATCTACCGATCACCGCCCACAACAAAGACAGAAGAGAAAGAAAAACCAGGAGAAAAACCCGAAAACATGGAGGAAATTAAAAACATGATGGTAAACCTTAAATAGAGTAGGTATGATAGAAATGAGAAATGACAGAAAAGAAATAACGGAAATGAGAGAAGAGTTTAAAAGGAAATGCAGGAACTGAAGAGGCAAAATCAAGAGACGGAATAAAAATGGAACAAAGAAAAACGAGAACTAGCGGACAGAATAGACAAACTAGAATGGAGACTGGAAAAAAAGAAAGGATGAAGAAAAAAATAACGTATAATTAAAGGAGAAGGAGCAAATAATATTAAGAGAACCGACGCAATAAATTTCCTAAGAAATGAATTAAAAATAAATATTTCTGCTACAGAAGCCCGTACAATACAAAATAGAGAACGAAAAATAAGGATTCTAATAAAATGTACAAATTGGGAGGAAAAAAATCGCATCATGAGGGACAGACAATCCCTAAGAGATAAAAACGTATATATCGATAACGACCTGACAGTTACAGATAGAGAAATGCAAAAGAAGATCCAAGAAAGGATGAAGGAAGAAAAAGAAAAAGGTAATACAACAAAAATGGAATATATGAAGCTCATGATAAATGATACATGGTTCAAGTGGGGTGAAAGATATCGTAATTTAACGACAAAAAAACTAAACAAGCATTCACAATCGAGGGGGGGGGGGGAGATCACACAAACAATTAACAAAGGAACAACAGGTGATAACAAAAACAAATAAAAAAAGGAAGAAAAAAAGAAAACATTACAAAAAAAGGAAACATCCAAATTGGAAGATTGGAAAATTCGGGAAGATCACACAAACAATTAACAAAGGAACAACAGGTGATAACAAAAACAAACAAAAAAAGGAAGAAAAAAGAAAACATTACAAAAAAAGGAAACATCCAAATTGGATTCTGGAACGTGAAAAATTATGATGTAATCGGCATGGCAGAAGTATGGGTAGAAGAAAAATATTGGGAAAATTGGTAGAAAAAACTACCAAATATTTTGAATGGGAATATGAATACGCCAGAAGGGAAAACAAGAAAGGAAAAGCAAAAGGAGGAATATTAACAGGTGTAAGAAAAACGATAAAATGTGAAAAAACGATAAACACGAAAATGGAATACAAGAAAGAAAAATGATACTAAAAGAAGACAACAAAAGAAAGAAGAAGAGAAAAAAATTGATTAACTTCGTAGAAAAAAAAGGGTGGTACATCCTCAACCGAAACGTGAAAGGAGACGAAGAGGGAGAATATACATACATTGGAAGCAGAGAGCAGTCTATAATAGACTATATTATTCTAAATGAAAACGGGAAAGAACAATTAAAAAATTTTCAAGTAGACCAAAGGATAGAATCCGATCACTAGCCAATATCCACAACGATGAAAGGCAGTGCTGACACGCAATACAGAAAACAAACAAAGAAATTACAAAAACGATAGATGGACCGGCTCGGCGAGGATGTGAGGGTGTGTAGAAGAGCGGACTCGGCAATTGTGCGGGAATAACGTCTGGAAGAAGAAAAAAAAAAAGAAGATTCATTGGAAACAATCCGCAAGCAAAAAGAAACAACACGCTGCAATGTTAAAACAATTGGTACTCTGCAATTTTGAGCGATCATTAATAAATGGAGGTGTTTCTGTTTATGGTGAATTTCGGTTCTTAAAGTTAGTGCACTGGCCACCCGTGAAAATTATTGATTTACTTTGTTTATTCCGTCGGTGTTGAATTCAATTTCTCGCACCGATATCACTTTTAACCGTTTTCCAGCCGCAGTTAAATTAGTACTGTATTATTGGTAATGACCTCCACGTTACATTCACGTTTAAAAACTCATCTCCGCTTTTTACGCACTGCACCTACACGCATACAGAAATTTGCGTCTTTTGGCCTAATATAATCGCATGATAAAAATAGAGCCATACCATATAAAATTTTATGTATAGAAATTTTCCTTTTAATACAATGTAGAGACTAAAAAGTAATTAGCTTTAAATCGAAAATGCCCCTCCTAATTTAAGCCAACTGTTTATACAATACGTAAAAAAACAAAATTCAGGATTATATCCAAAAGACAATGAAAATGAGAATTTCAAATTTGAAAAACGGGCTCTAGGGATGCAAGTTTGGTTGTGTGAGGCAGAGGTTGCTACCTATACGTTTATAGTATTATTCAATTTTTCTGCCTCTTTTTCCTCGTGGTCTGGGTGACATCTAACATCGATGTTCAGCATTAGTCCAGCAAAATGTATAAACGCTAAATAATATATGAAATTTAAAAAATTCTGCATCGGCCCGTCTAGCAGCTAAAGCGGTTAGGATTAGACGAACGACGATGGCTAGCATCTTAATACGTGATATCGTACTCGAAATTGGTGCGTTTTCGGAAGAGCGGCATACGAGTGATTTTTTCTGTAGTAAAATTCAGCGAAGGCAAATTAACTTCGCTCACTGGCCAGATAATTGGAAAGTCATATTCCCGCAAAGTGCAGTTTGACGCGAATGAATTAATACGTTATCAACCCAACACACCTTGACTGAAGAAAAGCAGAGTTCGCATAAATTCAGTAATGGAATTTTTTTCAATGGATCAACCTACATTAAGTGGCGGTGAGTTTCGTGGAGCACCCATGCCACCTATACGAACTTTGACCGGAAAGGATCCAGAATCCAGAAAAAAAAATATTTATGTTAAGGGAGGTCAGATGCATTGATTTTGATATCAGAAGGAGGAAGAAATTCATCTCATCAGCCACGAGACGGTTCAAGTATAGTATTTACTTGTACCTATTACTTATGCACTTATTTCTATAATACACCACGCTAAAAAGAAAGGAGCGAAGGAGTATGAGGGAGAAAGAAGCGGGTACTATTCTGTCGGCACTCGCCAAGACCTACATTTTAATTTTTTTTATTCACTTCAGTGGATAAACATAGTTACGTTATTTTCTACATTACAAATTGTGATTTGTCATAGCACAATGGTAAAATTAAACAAAAAAGAAGATACGCGCACAGGCTCACGAGGTGCACTTTAATAAATCCTTAATGATTGGCACTTTGCCCAATATGAGACACAGAACTGGTTGCCGTCTTATACACTCTGTAACACTGGGAATACCCAGTAGCGATAGAAGAAGATCCAAGAGTGACGATAAGGCACCTCCAACTAGACGTATAACACCATCCACTACCATTGCAACTGGTCCCAACAACCACAAAAGCGCTGCAAGCTTCTGAAGTTCGTTCTGAAGATTCGCCAGAGCACACTGCAGGATTTTGGCGAGATCCTTGCTCGTATCACTATTGCAGGTCGTTAGCAAGTTCACTTTATTCAAAATGTCCGCAACCTTATCGGGAAGAATCTTATTGACGTTCGCGATTGCACAATTAATTATTCCCTGGAGACTTTCGGCA